TAAAAATAAATTTTAAAAAAAGAATTTCTATCTAAAATATACAAAGAATTCTTTAAACTCAATAATAAAGACAAAAGATTTCAATAAACATTTCACCAAGGTATGGCCAATAAGCACATTAAAAGATACCTAACATCATTAGTTATCAATGAAATGAAAATTAAAATCACCAAGAGATGCCATTTTTATACCCCCTACAATGGTTGTTTAAAAAAACAAACAAACAAACAAACAAAAAAAAAAAACAACTCAGGACATTAACAAAGATTGACAAGAATGTGGAAAAACAGGAAGTCTCATACATTGCTGGTAGAAATCTAAAATGGTATAGCCACTTTGGGAAACAATTTGTTGGTTTCTTAAAGAGTTAAACATAAATTTGTCAGAAGATCCAATTCCACTTCTATGTATCTACACAAGAAAAATTAAAAAATATGTCTTCCAATGACATACCTATAAATGTTCCCAGCAGCATTATTCATAATAGTGAAAAAGTGAAAAAAATTTACTATGTGAAATGTTAAAGGGACTAGAGAAAAAGAAGACCAAAACTATGAATATTAAAATGACAATAAACTTACAACTATCAACAACTGAATCTAAAAAATACAAACCAAACCAAACCAAACTAAGCAAACAACCAGAACAGGCACAGAATCTTAAGTATGGGTATCATTTGGAGGGTTGTCAGCAGGGAGGGCACAGGGGGAGAAAGAGAGAAATGGTGCAGGGATCAAGAAGCATAACTGTTAGGAACAAAATAAACAGGGGGAAGTTAAGAATAGTATAGGGAAGGGAGAAGCCAAAGAACTTAACACACACGACCCTTGGACATGAACTAAGGTTGGGGGGTGGGGGGTTGCTGGAGGGAAGGGATTATCAGGCGGAGGGGGCCAAAGGCAAAAATATTGGGGCATCATCAGTAAAATATACCCCCAAAAAAGGTGAGAAAAAACCCTCAAAAGTCCATCAGCTGGTGAATGGATTAAAAAATCTGCTATATCCAGCCCTGACTGGTGTGGCTCAATTGGCTGGGTACCCTCCCGCATGGCAAAATGTTAACTGATCGAATTCCCAGTCAGGACACATGTCCACGTTCCAGATTCGACCCCCAGCTGGGGTGTGCGTGAGAGGCAGTTAACTACTCAATGTTTCTCTTTCTCTTTCTCTCTCCATTTCCTCTCTCTAAAATTAATAGGTCAAATTAAATAAGTAAAAATGTGCTATAGCCATACAATGGAATATCATTCAGTAATAAAAAGGAGTAAGTTATTGTTATATGCTATTGTTATTTTTTACCAAATGTTCAGACTTTATTTTCTAAATAAAATAAATTGCAGACTGTTTCATACCCATACATGTACTAGATCTGACTTGCTCTTTTTTTTAAGGCTGCATAATTTTCCAGCATGTAATTTATCTCATCCCCTACTGACAGACAATGACCTTATTTCCAATCTTTTCCTATTACAAACAATGTTGTGATAAACAATAATCTTTCTCTGCTATTTTGTTCATTGCATATTTATCTAAAGAATAAATTCTTAAAGATAGAACTGCTGGAACAACTGGCATATGTGTTTTTAGAAACAACTTTATTGAGCCTTAACTGACACACCATAACATCTACCCAATTTAAGGTACATTTCAATGATTCGTTGTAAATGTATTGAGTTGTGCAATCATCATCACAATCTATTTTTAGAATATATTCATCACACCAAATAAAATTCCTCATGGACATTTACAATTCTTGCTTCTACCCCCTGCTCTAGGCAACCACTCATCTACTTTTTATCTCTACAGATTTGCCTTTTCTGGTCATTTCATATACATGGAATTATACAATATGTGATCTTTTGTGTCTAGCTTCTTTCATTTGTCTTAATGTTTTTTACGGTTCCTCTCTCTCATATTGCCGTTTTTCTTTCCTTGTCTTACTCTCTGAAATCAACTTAAAAATATCCTCAGGTAAGGATTAAAAATAAATAAATAAATAATGTGTCCATTTGTTTATATACACATAGGACATCTTTGGAAGACACAAAGAAATTGAATAAGACTGGCTGTTTCTTAAAGGAATTGGGTGGCTAGGGGACAAGGTAAGGAGGAAAATATTTTCATTCTATCGCTTTTCATACCTTTTTTAAAAAGATTTTATTTATTTTTAGAGAGGAGAAGGGAGGGAGAAAGAGAGGGAGAGAAACATCGAGGTGAGAGAGCAACATCAACAGGTTGCCTCCTGTATGCACCCCGATGGGACCGAACCTACAACCCAGGGCATGGCCCCTGAGCGGGAATGAAACTGGTGGCCTTTGGCTTTGAGGAAAAATGGCCAACCAACTGATCCACACCCATCAGATCAATAGCGCTTCATACTTTTTGAATAGTGTATCAGATGCCTGTATTAGCTATTTGAAAAACAAATTTTTAAAAATAACTGAAATCATTTAAAAAAGTGATTGACTTAAAGAAAAATGTAAGTCATGTCATAGAGTGTACACAGAGAAAGACAAATCACTAAGGTAGGATGGAGACAAGTTTGGCTGGGAGCCCACCCCAGGCCATCCAACAGTACAGCTGGCCTGGGTCTGCCTACCTGGTGACTCCACACCCTGCTCTGCCTGGCTTGGTGAGGGACAGAGCTGGGCCCAAGAACCTTGGGCCTGTTGACCAGTACAACAGATGTAAAAGGATCTGCTAGGTACTTGTGACTGCTGCCTGGGAGGGTGAAAATTGGCTCATGTCAAACACAGAGTTCCCAAAGCCCTGGCCAGGTAGTTCAGTTTGTTGGAGCATTGTCTTGCTATACCAAGGATATGGGTTTGATCCCTGGTCAGGGCACATAAAGGAATCAACCAATAAATGCATTAATATTTCTCTCTCTCTCCCTTCCTTTCTCTCTCTAAAAATCAATCAATAAATTTTTTTAAAAACCCTACAGAGATCCCACACTGCATACTGATGCCAGATCTTCTGGGCATCAGGGCAATCCCTCAGTCCCAGAGAGTCTTCTGCAGCTGAAGTGCAACTCAGGATGTGGAGTCAATTCTGGTTCTGCTCATTTGCTGTGTGACCTCCTACAAATCACCTAACTTCTCTGAGCCTCAGTTGTAAACATGGAAATGATGCTTTTCAAAATACATATATATGAAACAAAGAAATACACAAAAGATAGCAAGGGAACAACCCGAATGTTACCAATGGGAGAATGAATAAAATAAAATAGTATATTCACACAACAGAATACATAAAGCAATAAAGAGGACAAACTACTGCTACATGCAAAAACATAGATGAACTCCACAAACAGAATGAGTGAGATAAGCCAAACAAACAAAAAAAAATATACCATAAAAAAAGTATACCCTTTTTTTTAATGTTTACGAACAAGTGAAAAAAACATAAAGTGATAGAGGTAAAAATACTGGTTACTCTGGAATGGCAGGAATTAGCTAGGAGGGGTCATGAGGGAGCCTTCTGGGGCATGGGAAATGCTCTACATGTCAATCTGATTACACAAAAATCTATTTACATATACACATATAAATTGTACACTTAATATTTGTATCATTACTGTGTATATGTTATAATTCATACACATTTTTGATAACTAAAAAGAGAGGCATGATAAACAGGATTTGGGAGGATGGTTGTCTTGGCCAGGGAAACGTTGGCTGGGGAGGAGAGTATGAAGTTCAATGCAGGTTATTGTGAGGTTTTGTGCTTTATTTTGGGATGATGGATTCACAAGCACCCATATTATTTTGAGAAACAAATTGAATAACTCAAAAACAATTTAAAAATAATACAAGAGTTGCACATACCTGGTAGAGTTATTATGAGATATGTCAATCAGGATTCTTAGTTGCAAATAAGAAACCAACTCTCTTCAGTTTGGGTAAGAAAGAAATGTATTAAAGGACGTTAAGTGTCTCTAAGAATCTCTGTGGGAGTCAGATCTCCAGGCTTGTGGGCTGTGTACAGTTAGGAACAACCCCCAAATTCACCGCGAGGATCCGGGCAGGCTAGGAGAGGTGCCAGGTCACAACTGCAGGGCAAGGACAGTACAACTCACTTTGCCCGCCCTGAGCTCGGGATGTCACCAATAGCTGCCACCCTCACTTCTTTGTGCCTCATTTGTGAAGTAGATGTATACCCATATATTTTAGGGGTGTGTGGACACCTATGGGAAATCATGTGTCAAGGGCTAGACCAGATGCCAGGTACACTGTAAATGCCTATTTAATTAGGATTAGCAAAGGTAAGGTCATGTGGCAGCTTACAGGAATGTAGGTAAGACCCATTGGAATTCTGAGGCATTCTCGGAGGAGACTTGACATGGAGTGCCAGCATGCTTTGCCAGATGAGGTCCAGGGAATATGGAATTTTTTAAAAATACTTTATTTATTTATTTATTTATTTATTTATTTATTTATTTATTTTAGAGAGAGGGGAAGAGAGGGAGAGAAACACCAATGTGAGAGAGATACATCAATTGGTTGCCTCTCGCACGCACCCCAAGAGGGAACCAGGCCTGCAACCCAGGCATGTGCCCTGACCTGGAATCGAACCAGCGACCTTTGGCTTTGTGGGATCATGCTCAACCAACTGAGACACACTGGCCAGGGCTGGAATTCTTTTAAAAGTTATTTTAATAAGAATGTGTTATACTGGTGCAAATGATACCCTGTCCATTATCTTATTTAATTTTCATAGTTTGCAAAGGGCAAAGGCTACGAGAGCCAGAAATACTCAGAATTGACTTTAGCCCTGCAACTTCCTGGCTGTATAGTTTTGGGCAAATGACTTAATTTCTCTGAGCCTTTGTGCCTTCATACGTAAAATGGGAAAAATAATGCGATGTCATGAGGATCAAATGAGAGAGGATACATGCCAAGACGGGCATAGAATATTTGCTTGATAAAGGTAATAGAAACAGGTATTATTTTTAAAAATTATTTATTAATTCATTTTACAGAGAGAGGAAGGGAGGGAAAGAGGGAGAGAGGGAGAGAAACATCGGTGTGTGGTTGCCTCTCACGTGCCCCCTAGGGACCTGGCCTGCAACCCAGGCATGTGCCCTGACTGGGAATTGAACCAGCAACCTTTCGGTTTGCAGGCCAGCACCCAATCCACTGAGGCACATCAGCCAAGACTAGAGATGAGCAAGATTTAAAAATACACTGGACATTACAGAAGAAAAGTCTGGTAAACTTGAAGATACAGCAATAGAAAATATCTAAAAGAAAACACAGAGAAAAGAGAATTTTAAAAATAACGAACGGAGCACCAGTGAGCTGCGAGATAACTTCAAGTAGTCTAATACAGGTGTAATTAGTGTCTCTGAAAAAGGGGGTGGGATAGAAAAATTATTTGAAATAATAATAGCTGAAATTTTTCCAAATATGATGACATAATGGTATATTTAGAAAGAAAGTCCAAAGGAATCTATTTTTAAAAGAAAACTACTAGAACTAATAGAAAGATCAATATACAGCCCTGACCAGTGTGGCTCAGTTGGTTGGGTGTATCTCACCCACATCAATATTTTCTCCCTCTTTTTCTCCCACCCTTCCCCTCTCTCTAAAGATAAATAAGATCTTTAAATAAAATAAAAAACCTTAACTTCTCAAAAAAAATTTCATTTGTCTCTAGAAGTTTGACTTCTTTTTATATCTTCCATATCTCTGCTTATCTTTTTGGACATGTATAATAGAGTTTTAATAATTGTTTTAATGTCTTTGTCTGCTAATTCTAACAGCTATGTCAATTCTGGATCAGCTTCAATTCATTTTTCTCCTCATTATTTCCTGCTTTGTATGACTGGTAAATTTTTTTTATTGGATGCCAGATATTATGAATGTTACCTGTTGGCTGCTAGATATTTTTGTAATTTTATAAGTATTCTTAAACTTCATTCTAGAATGTGGTTATTTTTAGGTTTGCTTTTAGGATTAGGTGGGACCAAATCTGTGCCTAGTCTAGCAGGGGTGTCCAACCTTTTGGTGTCCCTGGGCCACACTGAAAGAATAAGAGCTGTCTTGGGCCACACATTAAATACACAAACACTAATGAAAACAGATGAGCAAAAAAAGGTCTGTGCATAATTTTTGTGATATCCGCCACCACAGATAAACAAAAAAGCCACCACATAATAACCCTAATTATGCAGTGGCCCTTTTGATGATCTTTTAAAATCTTCAAGCAGGTCCCAAGTTTGTGATCACTAATATAGAAAATGTACATATCTAAGTAATAAAACAGTATAAAACTTAATAATAAAACTAAGTGATGCTTTAAGTAAATTTACGACTTTGTGTTGGGCCGCATTCATAGCCATACTGGGCCACATGTAGCCCGTGGACCGTGGGTTGGACACTCCTGTCTAGGGCTAATTTTTCTCTACCACTGAGTGTTGTGCTCTCTACTAAATGCCCTATGACTCACAAAGCTTTTCAGTCTGGCTAGTGGGAACAGGCACTATTCCCAGCCCTTATTGAGCAGGAACAGTTACCTCTAATCTTTTTGGGTGGTTCTTTCCCAGGCCATGAGTAGTTTCTTCATGTGCATGTGCTAGTGAGTACTCAGCGGAATATTTGAATAAATCTCCAGAGTTCTCTCTATACAACTCTCTCTCCTCTCTGATACTCTGCCAACTCCAGTGTCTTTGGTTTCTCCACATTCTCAGCTCTGTCTCCCCAACTCAGAGCGTCTGTTGGGCTCCACCTGGGTTCACTCACCTTGCACCATAGCTTGAAAACTCTCAAGACAGTAATTTTGGGAAATCATAGGTCTCACCTCATATGTTTCCAGTCTCAGTGATCACTGTCCTTCATTACCTGATGTCCAGTGTCTTGAGAAGTTTTTTTCATTCAAGGTATAAGGCAGAAACGCTTTTAAAATTCCCAATGTCCAAATCACACCCTAGAGAATTAAATTCAAATCTCTGGAGGTGGGGTACAGGCATCATTAACCAATGCACATGCAAATTTGAGGATCAGTATTCTATAGTCTGAATTTATTTCTTTGCTGAAGGTACTATGGCGTATTTTCAACTTACAGCTGAGCCCATGATTAAAGAGATCAAATCTCTTTTAAGTTCCCCTGATTAAAAAACAAAGTTGGTCTCAAGCCCAGAGCAAGGCAGAGCCTGCATATGAGAGTTAAGTAGCTCTACCTAGAGGGAGGATGGGCAGAGTAGGGAGCTGGGCAGAAGACTGGGGGCATTTATTCAGTTGACCCTTGAACAATTAGAGGGTTCAGGGCACTGGCACCCATGCGGCAGAAAATCCGCATGTAACTTTAGACTCCCCAAAACCCTGACTACAGCCGCTCAGTATCTGAGGGGGATTACTTGCAGGACCCCTGCAGATACCAAAATCTGCAGATGCTCAAGCCCCTCACATAAAGTTGCAGGGAACAATGCATACAGGCAGCCCTCCACGTTCACGGATTCCCAGCTTGAACAGAAAATAGTTTTCTGTTCGCAGTTGTTGAATCCATGGATGTGAAACTCAGGGTTAAGGGCCAACTGCATATATTTATTTAAAAAGCCCATGTATAAGTGGACCCATGCAGTTCAAACTAGTGTTGTTCAAAGGTCGACTGCAATTTATTATTTCTATTTAACGAAGCTTTCATGCTGTCTTGCTTCATTTTCTTCCCCCAACAATAGTGAGGCAAAATTTACTACCTCTGTTTGGCAGATGAGAACACAGTGCTCAAGAGGTTGGGTGATATGACAAAGGGCAAATCAGTTGCACAGTTAAAATTTAAACCCAGAGGTAGTTAAGGACAAAAACAATCCTTAGGATAGCTGCCAGGGATAAGGGAGCATCCCAGCAAAGCGCTGAGTCAAAGCAAATTCCCTTGTTAGGGCTTCCTAGCAATGCGCGTCTTGAGCAGTGGCGAGAAGATATGGATATCCTCTGCACAGTGTGACAAGCATTAAAGAATTATAGAGCCCTGACTGGTGTGGTTCAGTTGGTTGGGTGTCATCCAGCAAAGCGCCCAAGGTTGTCAGTTCGATTCCCAGTCAGGGTACATGCCTGGATTACAGGTTCAGTCCTTCGTAGAGTGGGTATGAGAAGCAACCCACTGATGTTTCTCTCTCACGTCTCTGTATCTCTTTCTCCCTCCCTTTCCCTCTAGCTAAAAATAAATGAATGCAGTCTTAAAAAAGAGAATTGTATAGAGCTGGGCAGGATGTACAGGGTACTGGTATGTGACCAGCCCCCCCCCACCCCGCCCCCAGAGAAGAGGAAATCCCTTACTTTGCAGCGCAGTGGCCTGTTCCAGGAACCAACACATCATGAGGCACAGGGGAGGATCCATCGGACAGTGTCTGAGAGGGTTTACGGGAAACCGTTTCTGTTCTGTCGGCAGCAGTCTCCTCATGGAACAGTCTCTCCTCCACAGACTTCTGCCTTGGAAGAAAGCATACAAGTGTACAGTCAAAGCTGAATTGCAGGGAAAAAGAAGATACTAGGTGTTACTTCATCCTCCCTACTGGCCCTTACTCGCCCAGTACTTAACCTCTGCTCTCAATTAATGAAGATTGTAAAATAATATGGCACAATTGGTTCCCATCAACAAGTGTTTGCTATTAGCCAGACCCTTTCCAGACATCATCTATTGAATCCTCACTATGATTCTATGAAGCAGGTACTACCGTCATCTCCATTTTAAAGATGAGGAAAGGGAGGCAAAGAGTGACTATATTTATTATCTATTGCTGTATGACAAATTATCTAGCTTAACACTGCAATAAACATTTATTGTCTCACATTTTCTGTGGGTCAGGAATTTAAGAGCAGATTACCTGGGAGATTCTGGCCGGGGGCATCTCAGGAGGTCCCAGCCAAGATGTCAACCAGAGTTGCAGAAGACACATTTTAAAGCTTGACTAGGGCTGCAGGATCTAATTCCAAGGTGGCCCATGCACATGGCTGGCAAATGATTTGGTAGTCAACAAGGAGGTCAAGGAGAGCTCAGTCACTCGCTGTGTGGATCTCACTATAGGGCTGCTTGAGTGTGCGGAAGGAAAGGGGGCCACATACTAAACCAGACAAGCTCAGGGGAGGCCTGCATGGTGGGCCTTACAAACTCAAAGACCTACATTAACCATGTGGGATGGTCTGAAATTAAAACGTCCTAACTACAAGCAGGTCATGGCAGGTAGTCATGTCCTAGGCTGGTATCTTTCCTGACAAAGGTCACTCTTTACCTTAACTGAGCTTATGTTGTTTTGTTTGTTTGTTTTCATCTACAGTAACATACTTTTGAAGTGCTAGGGTAATTTCCTTTTTCCATACCCCTCAGGGCACAGTCACTGCACCAGAGCACGGATCACAGAACCCCTCATTGTTACTGTTATGTTAAGTCCTTTTTTTACACAAGTGTGAAAGAAGTATGTGTCTATTGTTTATTTTTTATCGAATCTCAGAGATTCCTCCCTCCCTTTGCTTTCTCCCACCTACCTAATCTATCACCAGTGGATTTCAGGAAACCCCCTTAAGACTTCTCTTTTGATTCTAACATACAAAATAGGGTGCAAAACTGCCATTCTCTGGAGCATTTTCTCAATCCGTTGGGATTTTGCTTTCTGGCAATTGTTGTCAATTTGGCTCAAATAGGCTCACAAAAATTCTTACAGGTTTGAGCACTTCTTACGTCAACATGTGTCTTGACTTCCCCTTGAGCAAGTGATCCAAGAGAGCAAAGTGGAAGCTGAAATGTCTTTTCTGACCTAGCCTCAGAAGTCAGATTATCATTTCTGCAATGTCCTAGTGGTTACACAGGTCTGCCACGACCATTGTGGGAGGGGACTGGCTATACAAGGATATGAATGCCAGGAAGTGAGAATCACTAAGTAATTTATCCAAGGTCAGAAACATGGCAAGGATTAGAGGTGGACTTTGAACCCAGGTAGTTGTTATGTCCCCGTAAATACTGGTTTGAAGGAGTTGAGGCAGGCAGGTATCCACAGGTCTCCCATATCCCTGAGGTATTCATATTCAAGGTCACGTGCATCTCATTCCAGTGATCAGGTACATCAGACACTCTATCTAATGCGTCAGACAGACACTTGTCAAACCAACACGACCTGGGCATGTTTATAGAAGATTGCATAAATCATCACTTGATAGTAAACTTGGTGAGTCAAAAGGAACCTGGATTCTGTCTCCATCTTTACAACTGACTTATTGTGTGACCTAGGACAAGTTGCAGCCTCTTTGAGGCCTTCCTTTCCTGTCCGTGCAATGGAGCATCTTGATTAATTCCATGGGCCCTGAAGTCCTCTGATTGAGAGCTTCTGGGATCCCCTGTACACTTAGTTATCGGGAAGGCCGAAGGGATTTCCTCTCCATTGTCCCTGGATCGCTTAGACTTTTGCCCAAGTGAAGTGGAACCCTCAGGTGCAAGGGTTGCTTTCTGGGACCCAGGCCAGGCCCAACCAGGCTGCTCAGCTCTGCTTCACCCGCAGCTGGCTGGCACCATTGTTCCCCCCATAAAGCTGGGCCCATTTCCAGCTGCTGCTGTAGGGGAGAAACTCAAAGAGCTGTTGTGTGACTTTCCTCCTCCCCCAGGGCGAGCCTGGGTCACCCAACAGGCTGACTCAGCCCTTGCAGGGGAACAAAGGGGATGGGCTATGGTTTAGGAAAAGAATTTGACATTTACTATTCTCCCCTCTTCTATTCTCCCCAAAAAACTTCAAAGTAATCATCACGGGGAAAATCTTCTTATACTTATTTTACAGTTTAATGGGATAATAAAAAATTGAGGGGGCATTATAATCTTTCAGGGCCCTAGGAATCCATATTTTAATGATTCTACAATGCACAATTTGTTTGCCTTGAATTTATTTATTTTTAATATTTTATTTATTTATTTTTAGATAAAGGTTAAGGAGGGGAAAAAAAGAGGGAGAGAAACATCGATCAGTTGCTTCTTATATGTGCCCTGACCAGGGACTGAACCTGCAACCCAGGCCATGTGCCCTGGGTGGGAATTGAACAAGTGAACCTTTTACTTTGCAGAATGATGCCCAACCAACTGAGCCACATGGGTCAGGGCTGTTTGCCTTTTAACATCTTTGAAATTGGGATGCATGTAACAGCTGATGACAAGTCATAAACTAATTGCAGCATTTCAAAAATTATGTATCACATAAAATAAAATAATCATGCATATTAGAATGGTGCATCCTAAATTTGATGAAATATGGTAATTAAGTGCTGTTTTTGGAGCCTGGGCACTACTGTCTGCGTCCCAACCCCTCTCCTCCTCTGGCAACACCTTTCCACCACCGACAGGCTTGTCCTTGTCCTGCAGCGGTTGTCTTAATCCTATTAAGACGGTGTTGTCTCCAATACAGTCCTTCAGACTTTTTGAAGTTTTTCCCTTGCATAAGACCCTGGAGGAATTGAGTGGGAGGCTGACCAAGACAGAGAGGTTATTTAGACCAGTGAAAGGGCACAAGAGAAAAAAGAAATTATTTCCATGAGTAATAGCTAACAATGATCTTACATTGCATAACAGGCAGGCACTATTCTAAGTGTTTTATGTGTGTTAACTCATTTAATTCTTACATCCATTTTTCAAGTAGCTACTAGGGTATCCCCATTTTAAAGATGAGGCACTATAACTTGATCAACATCACACAGCTAGTAAACGGCAGGGACCAGGGGTAAAAAAGCAAAATGCCTTCTTTGCTCCAGAGGTAACACTGTCATAAATGTGATGTATATCATACTAGATCTTGTTTTTATGTATAGGTGGCATAAATACACAGAAATCTATCATTCTGCTATTCGGGTGGCACTATGCTATTTTAATACTCATGTCACCCCTGAGAGGTATATGTGTGTGCAGACACTGGTTAGTGGGTGACTTTATCAACACATTACTTTCTAGCTGCCTTCCAGCTAAGGAGAACCCTGTGATATAGTTCTGGACAACGAGATAGGAAAGAATGTCCGTTACGTGAGACTTCTGGGAACACACTGGCTTTCCTGAAAGAAGAGACTCAAGCCCTGGCTGGTATGGCTCAGTTGTCTGGAGCATCATCTTGTGCATGAAAAGTTCACTAAATCAATTCTCCATCAGGCACATGCCTAGCCTGCCAGTGTGATCCCAGTCAGGGCATGGACGGGAGGCAACTGATGGATGTTTCTCTCTCACACCAATGAGTCTGTCTGTCTCCCTTCTCCTCTCTCTAAAAATCAATAAATATGTCCTTGAATGAGAATTAAGAATAGACTCAGTTTGCTCATCCTTTATTCCTGGAACATGGACATGATGTCCTCCATGGAATTTGTTCCATAAGGCTACAACATGAGGAAAAGGCCAAGAGAATCACAAAGACATTGGCCGTGATGTCGCCAAGCCAGTGAAACAATACAAGCAGCTTCCTGTGTTGTGACTTCCTGTAAGACAAAGAAGTCTCCTAATCTACTATTGGTCAGGTTTTCTATTACTTGTAACCAAGAGCATTCTTTAGCAATATTTTTACAATCTCCACTTTATAACCAAGGAAACAGAGGTTCAGAGAGTTCAATTGACTTGGTCAAAGGATTCAAGTCCAAATCTGTCCAACTCCAAATCATGAATTTCTTCTGACTTCCTGGCAGCCCAGAAAAAGGAAGTTTGGGTTATAAGAAAGATGTGGCAATCCTTTGCAACTGGCTGTGGTCATACGATTAAGTCTGCCCAGTAAAATGCAGTGACCTCTGGGATATCTGGAGGAGAGAGGGGCGGGATGATGTCATACCTTCCTTCTTCTTCCTTTCTTCTGCTTAGAAAGATAAGATAATGCAATGACTGAAACTCAAGCAGTCCTCTTGAACTACCAGATGACCTCAGTAATGGAAACCACTAAGAATGGTGGAGTGGAAAGATAAGCTTCTGGGTTTCTGATGATACCATAAGGCTGCCATAACAGCCCTGGACAGCCTACTTCCGGTCTACCTCCAATCTTTGTACATGATAAAGTTGGTTATTTTTTGAGGGTTTAAAAACATTTTTTTTTTAATTCATTGATTTGAGAGAGGGAGAGGAAGGGGAAGAAAGAGAGAGACAGAAAGGGAGAAAGAAAGAAACATTGATTAGTTGTTCCACTTATTTGTGGCTTCATTGGTTGATTCTTGCATGTGCCCTGACTGGGGATCTCCCCCACAACCTTGGTGTATCTGTACAATGCTCTAACCAACTGAGCTACCTGGCCAGGGCAAAACTTAGTTCTTTTTAAGCCAATTTTTCCTCTCTGTTCTGTGCATGTAAGTCTAATTCTTGCCGATACACCAGCATTTAGTTTAGACATGAGTAGGTGATGCAGCTCTGGTCACTGGGGAAGTTTATTGCCAAGTGGTGGGAGCGGGAGGTGGAGAACACACTCAGGAAAGTTTTATTTTCATCTTGCAAAATG